GTGTGTACTTTAATTGGAAATTTAAAAGAAGGCGAAACCCGAACAGGCATTTAGTACATGAGCACCCTTTACCTAGTATTTGCAGTATCTGCTGCTTCTCCCTTAATAATTTTTTGATTGTTATTGTTATCAGCGTTATAAAATAAACTGCACCGAACACAATAATATCACACTCGATAATTGATAAATCAAAATCACGAGCAGTTTAATAACGCAATGTGTATTTGAAAAGTTTATCAGATCTACAGATGCACCCGCACTACGAGAAAAATGTCGAATGCAAAGTGCATATGTCCGTTCCAAGCCGCAGGCGCGAAGAGGCCGGAGTGGGAGGCGCCGTGACTGAGAAAAATCGGTTCACCCTCCCATAAAAAGTTATCACTTCAAAAGTCGATTTTATACCATCCAATCCAATTACGCCATCTAGTGGTCATCTGAGAAATTTAAAAATAATTTCCAACAAATTATTTTCGTCAAGTTTGTTATAATTTTTTTTTCCGATCACTACCACACATACTTTTCAAGAGACAGCCGCTTACCATCCTTATTGTGACACCCTGTATAAGTCTTGTTGTTTTTTTGCAAACGGCCATCCAAAATACCTGGTTCATGTCCAGTGGACTTGTGCCTAGCTGCACATTGTGTCTTTCAAAATTTGTAGGAAAAAGCGATTTTAAAGTTAAATTGTATCCAAATTTAAGCAGTTTGTAGCAAACTTTCTCTCACCTGTCTCAAAATCAGGATAAGTAAGCACTTTATCAGGCTGCGAATTTATCCAATTATTTTTAATACATTTTAGAAGATGCACTGTATCAAATAAGTAAAACAAAGGCCGGTCAGCATTTACAGGATGAGGATACACAATGCTTAATTGTTTTTGTGGTGAAAAAAGGTTCATAGCTTTACTATTTATAGCACTGTTATCAGTGATAATACAGAAAATTTTATACCCGATCTCTTCAAGACCAATAATTACAGATTTAATTAAACTATATGAAATTTCGTGATTAATTTTTGTTACAGGTGAGATATGAATAACTTCTTTGAAATTTGAACATAGGCCAGTTATCATAAAAGTAAATGCAGAATTAGCCAGTGTTAGAATTTATAGCTGTGCCTACAACTGTTCCACCTTTATAGTCCAAATATGGTTTAATATGTATTTCATCCATAAGTAAAATCATATATTCTTCCCGGTCTTCAACGTATTTGAACAAATTCTTTGCGTAACTCAAAAAAGAATGTCTTTCCTCGGCAGAAGGATCTGTTACAAAAGAATTACAGACAGTTCTCAATGTGCTGGGGTGTGGTAAAATTAAAGCACTGTAATGTCTTAAACACCTGTTGCTGTGTGAACTTATTGTATTTAATATCGAACATAGAATTGTAGTGTCGGGTGAATATCGATATCTTACTTTGGATTGTGTAGACATAATTAGCTGTTCAGAAACAAAAACTAACAGGTCATTATTTTCTTCACAATT